TGGGTGAGTGTAGCCATCAACTACCAAGTCCCATAGATCCAAGTCATATGATAAAAAGTAACTTTCTATTCTCTCCTTCCAATAGTCAAATTTATCCCCATCAAACATAGGAGGTTTTGAACTATAGTGATCTTTATCGTTATCCATATTATCAACAGTGGAAGTAGATGTATCCATTGGTTTTTCACTTACACTTGATCGGTACTGGACATTGTTAAGTGTTAATAAAAATTCAAACTTTTTATCTTCTCAGAACCGGAGCTCTGATACCAATTGAAAGTGTGAAAAACTCAAGAAAGGGGGGGTTTGGATTGGGTTTTTAAAATAAAACTATTCTTTTAAAAAATATTCGCCTTTAAGTTAAAATGTTTTTTCCTTCACTCTTGATAATAACAATAAGTAAGAACGGGAAGTAAAGAACAATGTATGTTTATACTAGTTCACTTGAAAATTATCAAGCTAGTCTAGTCCACCCGCCAAGGTGATTTTGCCTCACTCAATCGAGGATTTAATCCACTATAACCAAACTAATTACAATTTTCACAAGCTACCCACAAGTGACTAACAACCTCTAGACTCGCAAGCCCTGGACTTCTTAAGGATTCAGACCTACCCGGTCCCTTAAGGAATATCAACTAATAATCAACCTGATTATTACAATGCACAAGCTACCCGTAATTGACTAACAACTTCTAAAACTCGCAAGCTCTAGACTTCTTAAGGATTCAGACCTACCCGGTCCCTTAAGGAATATCAAACAACACTTTGAATACAAGTTTTATTTACAAGAGTATTGCTTCTAAAAAGCTGAGTATGTAAACTATTTTATGAACATTAACTTAGAATGTGAAAGCAATAAGCAATGTTTGTGCATGAATATTCAATAGTTAGACTTGCTTTCTTTATTATTCTTTCAAGACTTTATATGGCCATTAACATAATGTATTCATTGAGGGATACTCTTGGAATTTCCAGAAACACTGGCAGCTTGAACAGTAACGTCGGGGACAAGATTGTGCGACACATCCGTCATTTCATGGTAGTGGAATGAAATGTTGATTGTACCATGTACTATTTATACCATGTTAATGTTATATTCTTTCCTTCTTCACTTTATAGGCTTCTGCGAGTATAAGTTTAGAAGCGAGAACATAACATTAGGTCATCAGAACTTCAAGTCTTCAAAATTGCGTCTTTAGAGTCTCCAGCACTTGGTTATGAGAGCCTTTTCTTTGAACCTTGGATCTTTAGAACTTCAAGTCTTAAGAATCTTTAGACCTTATGTCTTTTTGAGTCTTGGACACTTGGTCTTCAAAACCCTAATCTTTAGAACTTCATAAATAGAAACACAAGCTTTCAGCATCTGGACTTCAGTAGAACCTTTGTCTTCAGATCTTCTAACTTTGTTTCTTTAGAACACATCTTTAGAAACGTGAGTCTTCAGTATCTGGACGTAAGTAACAACTTTTGTCCTCAGATCTTCTGACTGGTTTCCTTAGAACATGTTGTCTTTAGAAGTTTGAGTCTCCAACATCTGGACAACTTCTGTTTTTAGATCTTTTGACTTGTTTCTTCAGACAAATATCAGAGTTTAAACTTCAGAGTCTTCTGGAGTGTCTTGCTACTGCTCAACAAAACTTGTGTAGCATAGAAGAAAAATCATTTCTCTTCTAATGTCTTAGCCACACCATCCATCAGAAACATAATCTCTTTGTTAAGTACTCAACAATAACAAACATTAGTATAACAAAATTGTTTATACAATCATACTCATTTGTTATCATCAAAACTCAGATAATATTGCAGAACTAAATCTTGTTCTTACAGTTATCTAGTGTTAGTCTTGTGCAGGTTCTGACTCGATTCTTTCTGTACGTGCCTATTATGTCAAGTCTTTAGAATCGTGTCTTTGGTTTTTCTTCCTTTGTCCATGTTCATGGTCCTCATAGGGGTAAGTTAGATCACCGGGCTATTGAATGTATCTTCATAGGATATGCTTCAGATAAGAAGGGGCACAAGTGTTATCATCCTCCTAGTCGTCGTGTCTATATATCCATGGATGTTATGTTTCAAGAACCTGGGTCTTTTTATCCCAGTCCTTAGCTTCAGGGGGGAGAATAATTGAGAAGCATAGTCTTCAGAGTTTTCTGTCCTTCCTGTTATTCCTCTAATACAGGACCCAGAGCCGTCTCCCTAGTTATTTGTTCTTCTTGTCATTCCTGTAATATAGGAGCCCTTGATGCCTAATGAGGATGGTGGTGATGAACCAATACTGGTGCATAATAATATTAACAAATACAAGTTACGGTTCTAGCGAAAAAGGTGGAAAGGTAAATCCGTTCTTCCCCAACAAGTCCAATTGTCTGAACCTGAGGTAAGTTTTCCTAACCCTGAGCCTAGTAATTCTTGTGAGCCAAACCTTGATGACTTACCCATTGCTTTGAGAAAATAAAAAAGTTCTTGTACCAAATATCCTATATCATAATTTGTGTCTACTGAAAAGCTTTTTGTGCAGCATCATAAATTTATTTCGACTATTGACTCTATTAGAGTACATGCACCAGTACAAGAAGCATTAAAAGATAAGAATTGGATTCAAGCCATGAACGAAGAGATGCATGCACTAGAGAAAAATGAGACTTGGGAGATTATTGAGAAGCCAATTGACAAGAGACCAGTAGGCTGCAGGTGGATATATACGGTAAAATATCGATCTAAAAACACACTCGACAGATATAAAGCGAGGCTAGTTGCAAAGGGATACACGCATACCTATGGAATTGATTATGAAGAGAAATTTGCTCCAGTAGCAAAAATGAACACTGTGAGAATCATTCTTTCCTTGGTAACTCACTTTGATTGGGAGTTGCACCTGTTTGATGTGAAAAATGCTTTCTTGCATGGAGATTTGGAGGAAGAGGTGTATATGGAGATCCCACCCGAATATGACCCTACTTCAGGAAGTAATAAGGTTTACAGGTTAAAGAAGGCCATAAACAAAGTCAAGATGATCATACTCTCTTTATAAAGCATGTTCAAAATGATAAACTCACTCTTTTGTTAGTCTACATAGACGATAGGATCATAGCAGGTAATGATGAATTTGAGAAGAAGAACTTGAGGAAGGAGTTGGCAGCTCAGATTGAAATGAAGGACCTTGGAAAGTTGAAATATTTCTTATGTATGGAGGTAGCATACTCAAAACAAGGCACTTTCATTTCTCAGAGAAATATCCTTGACCTTCTCAAAGAGACTGGAAAGTTGGGTTGTAAATCCACCAGAGTGCCTATAGAGCAAAACCATAGGATTGAGAGTGATGAGGAAAGTCCAAGGGTTGATTAAGCTCAATACCAGAGACTTGTGAGAAAACTCGTTTATCTATCTCACACCAGACATGACATAGCTTATCTGGTTAGTGTTGTCAATCAATTCATGCATGACCCACAAGAAAGGCACTTACAGACAGTGAATAGAATCTTGCAGCATCTAAAGATGAGCCCAGGAAGAGGACTAATGTTCAAGAAAAGCGAGCAGTTGTCTATGGAGGTTTATACTAATGCAGATTATGCAAGATTGATTGTTGACAGGAGATCCACCACTGAATATTGTATGTTCCTAGATGGAAATTTAATGACATGGAGGAGCAAGAAACAAAATGTAGTTGTCAGATCAAGTGCAGAGGCAGAGTTTAGAGCCATGACTCAAGGAGTTTGTGAACTGTTGTGGATGAAGATCATTCTAGATGACTTGAAAATAAAGTATGAAACTCCTATGAGACTTTTCTATGATAATAAGCCTGCCATTAATATTGCTCGCAATTCGGTCCAACACGACATAGCAAAGCATATAGAGATAGACCGACACTTCATCAAAGAGAAATTGGATAATGGTCTTATTTCTACACAGTACCTCCCCTCAAGACTTCAATTAGCTGATGTGTTCACCAAAAGACTTCCCTTAGAGCGGTTTCGAGATCTTACTTACAAGCTGAGTATGATAGATATCCATTCCCTAACTTGACGGTGAGTGTTGTAATATTAACATTATTATTAGAATATGTTGAATATCATACAACTCATTATGAGTTGTTGTCCTGTACAACTCATTATGACTAGATTAACATTTATAGGAAGAATAATTATCCTTCTCTTATTTAGATAGATTTATAGTCTATAAACACCTCTTATGAATTCTTTACAAAATATATAAAACTTTTCATATTTCTACACTTACAAATCCCTTCAACAAGCCTAAGGCCTTGTTTTACAAGTGCATCAGCACATAAATTTGCCTGCCTGTAAATGTCAACCAAACGAAAGTCCCCTTCTTGCGACATGAGACTACGGATTTTGTTGACAACGTTCAAACCAGTTCCCATCTTACTGTTAACATCAGACACAGCTGCGACAACTTCTCTACTGTCTGTTTGCACCACCAGCTTCCTTTGCTCCTTGGAAATGGTAAATTTCAGACCTTCCCACACACTCCAAAGCTCTGCTATCAAAGGTTTACACTTTTCAATTTTCTTTGAATAGTCTCCTAACCACCTCCCATCAACATCTCTCAAAACCCCTCCACAACCGGCATCATCAGTAACCAAAGGCAAACTTGATAATGAATAACATGTAAAATAAATAGGTATAAAAAGTAACAGCACATAGTGCATAAGTATCTCAAACTCAATATATGTAATTCGTTGATTGTTTTCAATTTTAAAAATAAGTATGCCGCTACCAAGTTTCACTAAATCCATATATACAATCAAATTTAATATGCAAATGAAAAATGATTTTTTTTTTACGCATTGTAAATAAAAGTTAACATACAAGTATACAACAAACTAACATAACTTTGATGTATTGTAACAAAAGAGACAAAATTTACAGAACAACTCAACTAGGGCTTTCTGTATTTGGGACCATGGGATCATTCATTTTCTGTCACTTTAGAATTACTCTCATAAAGGTTTTAACTACGTAGTACTATTCTTCAGCCAATAACTACCAATAATCACCACAGGAACAAACTCCATCTCTAAAACAGTGGAACCTATTCACATCTCTAAGAAAAATCTCTCTGTTAACAAATTTCGAAACAAACTTCATAAAACCATGACAGTCTTCACACAATCTCAAGTTGTTTGTAATCCTAATGGTTTCGCCTTTTGAAGAATTAATGAGTCCAAAAGCAACCGCAAGCTTTCCGCTATGTCCCAATAAAATTACTTCTTTCTCTTCTTCGTCAAGATCGTAAATAACAACATTTGTCTGCGGGACGTAACCCTGATTCTTGATCTCGGTTAACAGTGTAGTTAGGAAAGCACGAAGCTCTTCAATTTGCGGGTTGTACTCTTCGACGGAGACAAGCGAGTATATCTTTCTTTTGACTTCAATCCTGCTGTAACTCGGAATCTTTTGCAGGCCGCGAGATTCCAATTGTTTCCTTACACGCCTAACGTCATTCCACATCCTAGATTTCGCGTAAATATCTGATAAAAGCACGTAATTGCCGGCATTATTAGGCTCCAACTCAAAAAGCATAGAGCTCGCTCTCTCGGCGAGCTCGACGTTACATTGAATCCTACAAGCTCCAAGTAGGGAACCCCAAACCGTACGTCCTGGTTTGAAATCCATACTTTCGATTAGTTTGATTGCTTCGTCTAACCTATTAGCTCGGCCAAGAAGATCCACTATACAAGCATAATGTTCCATACTTGGACGTATTCTATACTTATTAAGCATAGATTCAAACAAAATCTTCCCCTCTTCGACAAGGCCTGCGTGGCTGCAAGCACACAACACAGTAATAAACGATATGTAGCTCGGCAAAACTCCTTGGTGGATCATATTCTCAAAAATTCCGATGGCTTTCTTTCCAAAACCATGCATACCATAAATAGAAATCAAGGAATTCCACGAAACAACATCGCGTTTCTTCATATAATCAAACACTCGTTGTCCCGTCGGAATCTCACCACATCTTCCATACATTGTTATAAGCGTGTTAAGAACCGGAAGTATAGAATCAAGACCCCTTCGTAGGACATATCCATGAACCAACTTTCCATTTTCCAATGCAGCAAGACTCGCACAAGCTTGAAGCACACTCACCATCGTAACAGGATTCGGAACTGAATCACACGCCTCAAGCATCATTACCTGAAACAGTTCCAACGCTTTCACAGGCATTTCATTCTTCGCATAACAAGCAATCATCGCACTCCATGATACAATGTTCTTCGTGGGCATAGCTCCAAACACTGAACTCGCATATGACACACAACCAAATTTAGCATACACATCCAACAAAGTTGTCATAACATGAACACACCCTTCAAACCCATGTCGCAGAATATGAGCATGAATCTCCTTACCCTTCTTAAGAGGACAAATTGACATCTCCGAAACAACACAACCTTTAAGAACAAACGTATACGTAAACCTATTAGACTTCACCCCAACCCAATTCATCCGACAATACAACTCCAACAACTTCTCCCCACGGCCCGCCTTCGCCAATGCTCTCAACACCGCATTCCAAACAAAGATAGTTCTCTCCCGCGTTTCATCAAACACCTTACAAGCATGATCAACAGAGCCCAAATCACAATACATGTTAATAAGCTTAGTTGCCAAAAACGGGTCTTGGCCGAAACCAGAAAGAACAAGTTTTCGATGAACATGAAGGGCGGCCGAAAGAGAATTCTCTTCTACACAAGAATATATCAAAAGCTCGAAAGTCTTCTGAGTGGGGTTGGGGTCGCTATACAAAGCCTTAACAGCTTGTTTCAGATAGCCTTGTTTACATAATGATTGAATCAAGTTGTCATTGTTGTTTGCAGGATTAGTAGAAGGATTGAAAGAAACGAAAGATAGTGGTAATCTCGGAGATGCGTGTGAAGTGTAGGAACTTGGGTGAGTTTGAATTTGAAATGGACCGTGTTTAACGGGTAGGGGCATTCGAAGGACCCTCATGAGGTATGTAGCAATGGTTCTCCTGTATAGGTTAGTCAGTGTTTCTGCATCAAAAACCAAGAGAGCAGAGTGGACTCAAACTAGGGTTGGGTATTGGGTGGGTTCGGCGGGAGAAGTGAAGAGAGATAGATATATTGCAACCATTTCCGGCGGATTGTGGCGTCGGAAAGGTGGTTGATGCGGAGATACGGGCGCAAAGAGAGGGATGTTTGTGCTGAGATAACTGAAAGGAAATGGTTGGCATGCTCTATCGTATCAAATCTTTTCTGCCGTTATCATTTAAGATATTTTATTTTGATGTAATTTTATTCATTTTGTTGTTTTAACTGATTTTGTGAACCGCATAATAGACACTCTCTTTTCTTAATTTTATATGTTTGTAGCATCACTTTAATCTTATGTTTCAGCAAAGCCTTAGCTGCGACAACAAAGGTTTATGGCATTAGAGAAAACATGACAACAATGTGGAGATTGCGGTGCAAGTGAATTGTAAAATTTAGATAGATAAGATCAAGTATTACAAGTTAAAATGCTGCAAAAGATGTCATGCACAAAATTGCTCGTATTGTTGGTTGTCCGTGCAACAGACCTGTCACATGACGTGTTTTCTCTTGTATGTTGAAATAATATTATCTAAAGTTGATTTGAAAGAGAGAAGAAGGAATATTTTATTATTAGTGGGACAAAATAAGTAACATCCACAAGGCTCCTGATCCAATGACAAGATAAAACCCTAAAAATTAGAAGGTGTAAAAGAATCTCTTGGACAAAATGGAAGGAGGTTCATAAGTTGGAAATTTGAGAAATTACTCTGAAAAATATCTTAATGAAGAAGAAGAAGAAGAAGAAGAAGTCAAAACTAATAGTGAATAGTTCCTTCCATTCTTCCTCCATTGAAGAAGTGTTGAGCATCCTGGTGTGTGACAGAACTCGCCTCCTATTGATTGAAAGATAGCAAGGAGCAAAGTGTTAGGTTTATATTTTCTTTTCATTTGTGTTTAGAAATATTGAATGTAAGAATTTGTATTGTTGTATATCTTTTGCTCATCATGAGCTAAAACTCTATATGTTGAGCAAATTGAAGTTTAACGAAAATTAGTATTTATGTTAACATGATATGGTTTGAAGTGATGCATTTTACTATGTGAACTAATACTCTACATTTGTTTCTTTGCTTGATTACCTTAGAATTATGTAAAAGTTGAAAGATCTATTAACTAACGGCCTTCATAAGCATATATGGTTGAAAATAGTAGGATAAATATATTCACTAGATTAATCACTTTAGAGATAAAGGACTACAACTATAGAGGAAATCAGAAGATGAAAATATACATCCTTTAATGTTATTTAGAGACCTCGAGAGTTTTCCCATCGACTTAATGAATATGCTTTAATGTTGTAGACATACACCACTAGATCACATTCTACCTTATTTGTCATGATAAATCTCATCACACACACATACACACACAATGTGAACTTCATTAGATGGATCATTTTCTAATAGGCCTCTTACAATTGATTCAACTTCTTCATCACCACTTATCATTTATTGTATTCAAACCTAAATTTGGGACAGTCCTATATTATTGTTACCTTTTTGCTCATGACTATTCACAAGATTTTAATGTGAGAATCAATTTAAGTTATTACAATCTTTGTGGGATTGATACTCTTACTTTTATATTACTTACTACTATTTATTTGTGTATACTTGAACATATCAATAGTTCACACAACACAGGTGTTGTAACTGGTTTTTAATACAAAGTTGTCACCCTTAATTTTTATTCTAAGGAAGGAAGTATAAAGGAATAACCCAAAAAAATTCAGATTCTAGATTGTTGACTCGGTTCTAGACGAAAGGAAGGTGTTAGGCACCCCTCATCTACCTTGTTCACAAGGATACCAGATTTAGAAGCGCAATTTTTAGGAAAAAGGATTTTAATTATTATTAGGGGAACTCGCCACGATTTTCATCGTACGCCTACGTATCCTCTTATGAGGAATTAGAATCCCAATTTGTAGTTTGCAGTATTGGTCTGTGTTTTTTATGGATTGCGTAGAATTTCTTTTGAATTAACCTTGAACATTGTCTGGGTTGTAAGTTGAGTGATCGTAGACGCAGTTTGTAGTTTGATTCAAAGACAATGCTATTTAATCTTTTTTTGAAAATAATCATGATTTTATCATGTTAGTAGAAAATGGTTTTTGAATGTTGGTTAGTTGTTTTAATATTTTTTTATTGGTCGAATATGGTAAGACATAGAGCGGGGGAGTATGATATAGTCTCCTTAGCACGTGGCCAGATATTGGCCATGTGTCATTCACGGAGGGTGAATTAGGTGAGTTGCGTGGATTTTAGTTATTTGATTTTGAATAATAAACTGGTAGAAGATGTGTTGGCCGATTTAATTACTCGAAGATGGACATTGTTGTACCCCAAAATTTAACCTCTTATTTATCAAGTAATCTCTCACAAGATCTCCTTTGGTTCAAGACTGAAGTAGGGTTGATCAGCTCAAGACACCTCCTCAAGCACTGATGACTGAAACTTAGGGTTTGAGATTGCACAAGGAAAATTGGACTTTTAATGTCTCATATGACTTTCATAGATCATTTTGGACCTTCAAGATTGCTCATGTCAAGTTTCAAGTCTTGGATCATATTTTTGCTCAGTCAATTGATCAGTTGACCTAAAAATCAACTGTATTGGGGAAAAAGTCAATTATGGTCAAATCTACAGTCAAACTTCATAATTTTTGGTCCATATAAACATTATGAACTCATATATGTCATTTGATCAAGTTTGGATCACAATTCCTTAAGAATTTTGATCAGATCATCAAAAGGGCAAAATGGTCAAATTAGGGTTTTGACTAAGAAGGTACAATTTCTAATTTTTGACCTAGAAAATGTTTGATTGGTTTAATTTATGATCTCAAGGATTAAATTGCATCATTTTGACCTAATGGAATGGCTAAAAACATCTCTCAAGTTCAATTGATTGACAGTTGAATTTCAGTCAACTGATGAAAAGTCAATTGTACACTAAAAAGTTAAACTTTGACTTTTTGGTCAAAATCAAGTGTCAAAGATCACAATTCATCAAAACATGTCAAAGTATGAAACTTGTTCATCAAGAAATCATTGAGATCATGTTTTAGCAAGGAGAATCGAAGGCAAGAAGTTAGGGTTTTCAAACTTGAATTCAAGCCATTTTGTGAAGAACACATGAACCAAATCCATGCTAGGCTGCATAATCTTTGCTTTACAGGCCTTAAACTTGTTTGTGACTCCATAATTAAATGTTTACACAACTGTTAGAGCTTTGATCCAAGCATTTGAGCCATTATCCAAGTTGCATTTCCATTTATGACACAAAGTGACCATTCCATTCTTGAAAAGTTGCTTTAATCACAAAGTCAACTTGTCTTGAGCTTCTAACTTGTTCTTTATGCACACACAACCCCTATAAATCAAAAACAATGTGTCCAAGGCCTCTAAAAAACTCAGAACATGCTTGTACAATACTTGGAGATTTGTCTTTTCACTTTTCTTCAAAAGCAAGTTATAGAGCCAAAAGGCTAAAACTCAGAAGTCTTGAGTGCATTTGATCAAAAACCTTTTCCATACATATTGTTAGCTCCTAAATTCGACACCTACAACAAGTTGGCCTTAGGGGCCAAAAATAGATTGAACAAGTCTAAGTTGGAAAGGCTCGACAAAGTAGAAAAGTACTTAGAGAAATTCTAAGTTAAATTGGGTCTTCGACCAAAAGGTTCTCAATCCCTTCGACTGAAGAGACTCCAAGATCTTCGACCAGAAGGGAATTTTGTATCTACCCCAGAATATTTTGAATCTGAAGAAAGGAGGGAAAAGCAGTTCGCTTGGCAGTTGAGGAAAGCAACGTGGCGTGAAAAGAGGGGTCGAGGCACATACAAAAGACACTTGTCTTCATCCTAGAGCAAGGCAACTCCTCGACGGTTACCTAGTTTTAGTATAAATATATGAAGTTTATGTTGATTTATGTGTGTTCAACTGATCGTACAAATTATTCAATACTATTCAAGTACCCACTGCGTGAGAAAGAATACTGAAAAATGTACGTTTGAAACACCACATTTTACAATCAAAGTCTTTTATTTCTCTCTTTACATTTCTTGCCTTTTTATCTTATTTGTACTTTATCTGCACTTTTATCCAGATTCCTGTACCTAACCTCTCCTTGACCCCTTTGTTCTATTTACTTTCTTCACTCAAACTCATCCCTTTCCCAGTCGAACGTGCGTTCTTCACCCACATTAACATTTATGTCCAAACAATGTCACAAATTAGCATATGTCATAGGATCAAACTGATCGATCCTGCAAGTCACCAAAAAGTTACCCTTTTTGGAAGATCAGCGGTTGTTTACCAGAAAACACGATGAACAAATTGGCACACCTGGTGGGACGTTTCTAATTACTGTTGTTTTATTTGTTTTGTCTTCTATTTTTTCTTATTAATCTTAATACAAATGCTTTGCATGATTTTCTTTCTTTTACAAAGTTTTGCATGCTATTAAGAAGTGGTAAAATAACCACCAACGAGTGTACAACTAGAAAGAGAAATAGTGAAAGAAATATGGATAATCAGCCAAATAATGGAGAGATACCTCCACCAATTACTACAGGAACAACGGTAATACCAACCTTTAGTGAAATTGTCTCGTCAACTTTTGGTTCGATACCAACGTTGACAGCAACTCAAACGGGACCAATAATTTCGTATGCAGGTCCCAGAGGTCCAATAGGAACACCCCCACCAAGGGTGAATCAAGGATTTCAACCACACGCTCCCCCAGGATTTTCGACAGCCTGGATGGGACAAGACCAGCCTTATGGCATGACAACTACTGAAATGGATAGCCTTATGAATGTTGCGTCTACATTTTCAGAACCTTTGGTAAGTGCGTCTTCACCATTACAGGGATCTGGAACTGGTATGGGTAGGAA